AGCCAGATGGTCATCTGGAACATGAGCTCCTCTTTTACAGCTACTGCAATACATTAAAGGTGTCTAAAAATATCTTAAGCAGCCTTAGCACTTGCTTTCCACACAAACAATTGCTGCAGTTAGGAAGAAGGAGGATATCTGAGCACTGATGGAAAGAGATGATTCAACAAATGCACCAAGCAAGTGCACTGCTGGTACTGAAGAGACCACAAGTGCTTCTGAAGATTTTTTTGGTTTAGAGGAAAAAACACAGTCCTTGAAGTAGTGGAGCTTAAGTCAGAGAGACCAACAGTACCCTCTCAATCAAGCTGAGACCCTCTAGAAGTTCCCTAAAAATCCAGCAAGCAAAAACAATTCCCATGCATATTTTCCAAACACTGTGCATTTAATACAGTTGCTTTAGCTGAAGAAATTTACATCGTTACAGCTAATATTTTAGAATAATCCCAAGCTCCTAGGGTTTTGCTTATTGAGCATTAAGTAATAAAAATACTGAGTCTAGTCACATGAAATTTTTTAGCAGCAGCCACAAAGAATTTCTACCTCTATCTGAGAAATACACAACAAAGAAACATTAATGCAGAAAAAAATGGAAAACAGAAATTGCAACTGTAGGCTCCAGACCTACTCCACTAATTAGAAGACTAAATCCCCCAACAGCCAGCAAGTTAAACATAAAACCACACACAAAGTATAAATGCCAATAATGTAAATACTATAATCTGGGCAAAGCTGTCTGAGGCAGAATGTTTTAAAGGCCTATAAAATTAAGGCCAGCATGAAAGAAGTGAGTAAGGAAAAGATGTTGTTCACAACACTAGAACATTTCATTTTCTACCCCTTGTTATCAGGCAGCAAAGTTACAGCATAAAGGAGAATTTCCTCTTTTCCTGTCCCTGCACCCACCAGAAAACACTACATATTTGACCTGTGGAACTTCAATGCCACAGGATTTTGTGTAGATCAGAAGTGTAAGTAAATTTAAAGGGGGTGAACTAGTAACTGTGGAGCTTTGAGCCATATATACTGCCAGTCATGTTCTTACCAATTTATTCTTACACACAACAAATTATTCATGCTTCTTTTGGAAGCTGACTTCCACTAATAAAGAGAATCTACCTGTGCTTCCCAATGTGACTACAGCAGAGTGGCAGCTAACGGTTGGACTCAATGATCTTAGAGGTCTCCTCCAACCTTGATGTTTCTATGACTTTTCTGTTCTGTTTGAAAAATGCACCATACTACATAGCCAGTGCTAAAACAGTGAAATATAATACATATACATGTATGAAACCACAAATCCTGTGGTCTGAATAGATTAAACCATCACACTTCACAGATCCTAACACCAATACTAGCACTTGAACAGTGTTCTTCCTTCCTCCAGCTGCAGCCTGTGCATGTTCCTTGTTACACTCTTCTACTGCAGCTACTCCATGCCAGCAGATCTGTATCGTTCTTGTCAGCTCTTCCCACGTATTTCATACCATTTCCTCTTTTGCTTTACAGCCAGGACTCTGTACAACTCCTTATGCTCCTTTTTGCATGTGTTCTGGTGCTGTTGTTTCTCCCCATTGACCCCAGCCATGCTTTAATTTCCTGGTCTCTTTGTGCCTTCTTGCTCTCAATATCTCAAGTTCTCCACCAACAGTCCCTTCCACCTTCCACTCTGGCTAATATGAAACCCTGCTTCTTTTATCAGGCCTTGATTCCATTGTATCAATGTCTGGTCTATCAATTTTTTCACCTTTAGCAACACTCTTATTTTTTCTGAAGACCAGAAAACTTTTCCCAGCAATGAGTTAACTATTGGTCTCTGAAACACACATGAAACAATTGCTGGTAAAAAAAAAAAAAATCTTACTATCATCTTGTATCTGGTCTGGCTGGTGTGGAGTTAATTTTCTAATTTATTTAAAGTTTATTTACAGCAGGGTATATATGTGTATATACAGTATACAGCAAAACTGTTAACAGATGTCAAGCAGTGTGATAGAGTTCATTCACTCAGCCAATTTGGCTTATCATAGAATTATCAAGGTTGAAAGAGACCTCCAAGATCATCAAGTCCAACCATTAACCTGCCACTCTGCTGGAACCACTAAACCAGATCCTTCAGCATCAGACCCAGGTGCCTCTTAAACACCTCCAAGGATGGTGACTCCACCACTGCCCTGAGCAACCTGTTCCAATGCCTGAACACCCTAACAGGGAAAACATTTCTACTAACATCTAATCTGAGCCTCCCCTGTCTTAGTTTATGACCATTCCATCTAGTCCTCTCATTGCAGAAATGGCAGAAGAGACATCCCCCACCTCTCCCTGTCAGTGAGAGCAGTGAGGTCACCACTGAGCCTCTTCTCAAGGCTAAACAAACCCAATTCCCACATAAACGTTCTGACAAGGCAACAGTTTATTAAAACAAGTACCTTTGTTGGTTGTGAATTCATTGTCTCTAGCTTTTGCAGATCTCACAAAATCAGCTGCCACTATCATTGGTGTGTAACACAAATCACAACTGTATTTCCTAACCAAGGTTCTGAAAGCCAACCTGCAGGCACATGAAAGTTAAGAGATAAATAGACAAGGCATTTTTCTGATTAGCTATTCTAAAGTGCTGTTCTGACATGCAGTATCATGGGGAGGTCCAAGTTTTATATATATAGATATGACCAAAATATGTATGATAAAACTAGTCCCACGTCTACCAGTTCTGACATGCAGTATCATGGGGAGATCCAATTTTTTATACATATAGATATGACCAAAATACGTATGATAAAACTAGTCCCACGTCTACCTCAGTCTTAATTAAAGGAGAAAAAGGTAATCACCCCTGTTTCTATAGTCAAGATAAACATCCTTAGAGAAGACACACTGAAAGCAGTTGACATGACAGTCACTTACTTTGAATAGCGAACCATAGGGGCACATATTTTTACAACTTGCCCCGAATGAAACAAATCCATGGGATCTTTTCGCTGGCATTCTTCAGTTTCTGTGATGTCACCAATCATGTATAATTAACAGTCCTTTCAGCATCTGGGAAAAAAAACAAACAACATTTGAAAGTCATATAGCTATTTCTCACAGGCCAAGCTGCAAAGCACCACAGTTTAAACAGGGCTTGGTGTTGTGATTCAACCCCAGCCAGCAGTCAGGAACCACACAGACACTCACACTCCCTCCTCTCCCCTTCCCTGGTGGAATGGGGAGGAGAAACACAAGTAAAATATATACGTTGAGACAAGAACAGTTGAATAATTGAGAATGAGATAAAATAATAATGGATAATAAAAAGCACAAGAAAACCCAAAATCCAACAAACCCAAACCAGCGATGCACAGTACAATTGCTCAGCCATGCCAAGCGCTGTTCCCCAACCCGGATCACACCCCTTGGCTAATTATCCCCCGGTTATACACCGGGCATTCCTATGGTCAGAACGGCTAGTTCAGGTCAGCTATCCCTGCTCCCTCCCAGTTTCTTTTGTGTACCTTCTCGCTGGCAGAGCATGACACAAGACAGAAAACATCCTTGATCGAGATAAACAAAACCTAACCGAAACCTAAACACCGGCGTGTTACATACATTATCCCCCAGTGACTCCCAAACGCAGCACTTCACCAGCTACTGAGAAAACGAAACTAACTCCATCCCAGCCGACCCCAGAGCTCGCTC